GCCCGCCCCAGCCCGCCCCAGCCCGCCCCAGCCCGCCCAGGTCGCAGCTAGCTTGGAGATGGTGTTCTCGCCCCCATGTGTACGGCCTGTGCTCAGGGCTCTGACCTGAAGGCTGAGGGCGCAGAGCAGCTGCGCACACCTGAGCCGGGTGCTCAGCCAGGGGGTGCGCGAACTGCGGGAGAGTCGGGTGAGGGCCGGAGCCCGGCGTGGGAAGGAGCATGCGAGCTGTGTACCCCAGCACGGGCGGATCTAAGGATCTACGTGTTGGAATGGTGGGCCACACCGGAGCGTGGAGCGTGGAGCTGCAGCAAGAAGAGCTGTTCCTGTCGGAGCATTCGGGCAGTCTTCAAACTGAACCTGAGACTCTCAGCCACAACTTAGAAAGTTGTGTGCACCTTAGCTTAGTTTGTGTGCCCTTAGAGGAAGACTAAGTGGCTGGGAGACCGGATGGGATGAAAGGTCTCATTTCATAATCTTTTAAAGTACGCTTTAAACTTTGAAAGTTACGCAGTAAAATCAATTTAAAACACAAACTATTTATGAGTATCCAAGTGTGCAGGGTCTAAAGTGAAAAGCCATACGTGGACTAAAATGGCAGTACATGGAATAAAATTCCAAATCCTCACCGGAGGTTAAGACACCCATCATAGGTGGGCCTACCTCTCCAGTCTGGTCTCTTTTCTGATAGCTGTATGTAAAGCAACCTAGTCCACAACTTTAGGACCTTCCCCTTTCATCCTCCGTGATCTGGGAGGTCACTCCATCTTTACAAAGCCAGGCTCTCCAGAATTGCATCTCTCGCTGTTGTTCATCTTTCCATCACCTGTCCTCCTCCTTAATCAAAATTTGTAAATTTGTGTTTATATATTTACGTGTTAATCCATTCTGCCTTTGCATTGTAATCATCGAGGGCAGGAGCCATGTTTGTGGTCTAGGCATCTAGCAGACAATGGATGTTTGTTGAATTCATGAGTAAATGAATGAATAAGAGGAACGGAGGGAGGACAGAGAGGATTTCTCACTTAGTGGTTGTTGGCCACACATAAGATCATTGGCTGTGTCCTGGTGAAACTCCAGATACGTAAGAATAAGGAGGCAAACTTGAGAAGACAAATGATTTTAGTGGATTAGACCTGTGCAACTGCATCCCCAAGCTTTCAGCATTCACGTTGTGAGCATCCACCCACTGTGTGCAAGTGATGCTGCTTGGTTTTGCTCTAGATTAAATATTACAAAACTGTTAAAGACACAGTCCTGGGTGGTGAAATGAAGGACAATGTTTTAAAAAGAAATTTGTCAAATATGGTTTGGAATAAAGCGGGCTATATCCTATACAAACACTTTTTTTTTTCTTTTCTTTTTGAAACAGGGTTTTCCTCTAGCTCCATCTTTCCTGGATCTCACTATGTAGTCTAGGCTGGCCTCGAACTCACAAAGATCCCCCTGCCTCTGCCTCCCTAATGCTGGGATTAAAGTCATGCTTGTGCCACCATGCCTGGCTGATAATATTTCTTTTTCTTTTTTTCGGCCTTTTTGAGACAGGGTCTCCCTGTACAGACCAGGCTGACCTTGAAGTCACAGAGATCCACCTGCCTCTGCCTCCCTAATGCTAAGATTAAAGGTATGCTGAACATTTAAAAAATATTTCTTGGCCATTTGCAATTTATCTCTTGAGAAATCGCTTTTCAGTTCCTTGCCCCAATTTTTAATTAGGTTATTAATTTTTTGATGCTTAGTGTTTTTTAGATCATTTAGTATTCTAGCTGCTAATCTTCTGTCGCAGATTTTGCTGGTAAATCTTTTTTCCCATTCTGCAGGTTCTTTTCACTTGAATGATGGTGTCCTCTGAAGTACAGAAGCTGTGCAGTTACATGAGATACCATTTGTCAACTGTTGGTCTTAAAGTCTGCACTGTCAGGGGTCATGTTCAGAAAGTCATTTGCTGTGTGGAACCTGAGGCTAGACATGTCACAAGCTATAAGGGAGAGTCTAATACTATTATTTTGTTAAATAAGCATAGTGTTAAATTGATTC